CCACAGTCACACTGTGGGAGCTGAATGATGTCTTTGATCAGATCAGCACTGGGGAAGCTCAGACTGAAAACACCCAGACAGCCTCGGTTTAAGGAGCTTTTCTTATGTTGCACCACTAAGCTATGAAGCTCCTTGTTGACAGTTCGAGCCAACGTTTTCGGGCTTTTGAGAACTGATGCTTTGGTCTCAGTCAGCACAACGTGATGATCACAGAGGTGAGGCTTGATGTGCTTTATTTTTTCTTCAACATTTTGCAGTCTGTTATATTGAAAGAAAAAGGATTTATGGTTTTCTGTTCCGGTGTGGAAGGATTCACTCTGGAGGAACACGATCTTGCCTCTTGCCTGCTGCATGTTTGGCACCGACAACTTGGTCCATATTCTAGTTTGAAACTTTTTAGTTAACTTCTTCATCAACAGCACAACTTTCTCCCTGTACAACCCATGAAACGTCACTTTTAAAAGCACAGTCTCTCTGTTGTGGCGATTTAAGAAGTTAAAAATGTCTCTGAGGACTCCATCAAATTCAACATGTTGATAAAACATCCAGTGACTGTCCCGAATGTTAATGCTTTTTTGGTTAGGCAGCCAAATCCCAGCGTGCACGTCAAAATACCGGATTCCCACTTTCAGCTGCTTGTCCAAAGTCCACACCTGACACACAGCGAGAGGTCCGCCGTACAACGACAAGCTTTCATGTGATCCAGGAATGGAGATAGCAGACACCGGAGTGTCATCAGGTATCGACTTCATCCAGTCGGTGTTGTAGAACCTGGGATCAAGAGCTGGATTATCATTGAAACCTGAACCTGAACCTGCACAGGAGGTGATTCTGCAAAGACATTGTAGTTGTCAAATTAAAAATCTCATTTAATAAAGTTAGGAACAAGACAGTTCAGCAGAAACCATACGAACTCATCGTTGTACACAAAACAGTCTTAATGTTTGGTGAAACTTACATGGAGAAAAGCCAGAGGTAACGATGGATGTCCATCATCGGTTTGGTCATTTAAAGTCCAGTCTTTCTGAGATTGGTTTGCATTTTCGTGTCAGCAGTCGGTTTGTAGAATGCGTCTCTCACCTCGAAAAACTTTGAACTGCAGTTGTGTCGTGTGCAGGGAAGCTGCTGTAGCAGTGAGCCTGAAGATAAGCTCTGGTTTGCATGTTTCTACTCTAATCGTTTTATTTGGAATGAGCACGAGAGCGAGAAGGAGAAAGAAAGAGATCATAAACCGGATCGTATCGTAACACTTTAGTTAGTAAAATGAGGCTTCAAGGACACTGGTGGAGATACATGCATCTCTTCAGCTTACTGCCCTTTACTTGCACTGCATGTGGGTTCATTTAATTTAGTTTATTTAATTATGCATTTATTTAAGTCACAGTTTTTTTAAAACTACAGCTGCACCAACACATTTAAATCCTGTGGTTAAGACCCTACATTGTTATTGACGGTGGGAGTTTACCTCAGTCGTTTACATATGAGGGAATAAAACTCTACAAGCACTATATAAATACTACTTTACATTTGAGGTCCTACACTGCTATTAATTACCTAATAAAGTTAAATATTAAGGAGAAGACTCAATAGCATTGTTAGTTATGGGAATAACTTGAATAACTCATTCAGAACTAAAATCGTGACCCTACAAAAATAGACATGAAAACCCAATAAACTAGAGAACTGCATCTACTCTGACTTTTCTATTTTGTTTTTATGGTAAATCAGGGATGTCTAGATGACATCACAATAATGGAGGTAGATCAAGGAATTTTAAGTTTGTTTGTTTTGGGTTTTTTGGTGTCAGCTTTAACCTAATTAACTCCTGTTGCCTTTTGTATGTATTATGAGCCAAAAGTGGATTAATCTAGACCACCAGTTGAGCACAGTGGACATTTGTTCTGTGCTGATGTTGCTGTTTTAGTCAACAAACATGATTTGCTCTGTTACACACATCAATCGGTATAATAACTGATTCTCCAGCTGATCCTAGTTTGTCAAAAACACCTGAGTTGTATTCAGAGGTCATGAACCTCCTCAGACTTCTTCATCATGGTCCCGGTGCTGCTAAACTCCCACAATGCTCTCTGCTTGCCAACATGAACTGCCTGTAGTCTGAGTGACGCCTCCTCTGGTCTCTACAGGATTAAACAGGAAGAGGCTCCACCTGCTGGAACAACCAGGTACTGCAGCTGGTCTACGGTACATTTTTTTTAGCTTTTCAACAGGGTTCACGTTCCCTGCAGAATATTAGGGATCAGCTTGGATGCAACATTGCATTTTTTTCCCCTAATGCATTGCAGAGCTATTCAACTATTCAAGCATATAAACTGAATTGATTTTAACAACTTTAATGTACTTTGAGGGTCTATTTAAAGAAAATGGTATCAGACTGGGACTCAGGTTTGTAAGACACAGATTGAATCGTGGCAAAAACCTCGATCAGGACGTCTTTAATCTTCTCATCTAACTCTCTGCAAGACAGCTGACAAAACATCATAATATATTGATTTTATTCTCAGTTAAGATGATAGTTTAGAAGATAGCACTCCTTTAACTTTGCGGCAACAGTTCCGTGTTGTAAAGACCTGATCCCTGACCTGAACACCTTTGGAAGAAGAGAGATATTGCTTATCTCTCAGCATCAGCAGCCAACCTCACTAATGCTCTTGGGCCAAGAGGGAACAAATCCCTGCAGCCAGGTTAAAAAGTCTGGTGAAAATTCTTCAGAGAGGACATTGCAGCAGCACGAAAACGCAAATAGTTTTTGAATTACATTTTTAATAATGTCAAATGTGTATTTTCTCTGTGTGTCCATGTGTTTTTGGACTTCTGGGCAAACTTCTGTGGACAGGCCTTCTACGTGCCGACACTGTTTGACAGGGTTACTTTGATTTTCTTTAACCCCAGCAAGAAACCTTCAGGGAACGTTCCCTGAAGCTACAGTTTGCTGAAACCCTGTTTGCTGAGGAACATACCGTCACAGTTTACTGTCTGTGGTTGGCTGCACTGTGCTGTCACATCATCCTTATCCCGGCCAATAAGCCTGTGTCCGTCCACTGCTGATCCTCTTCCTGGCCACCTGTTGCATCTTACCGAGGAACTCTATCTGCAGAAACACCATCAGATAAGACATGGAGCATTCAGCCAATTCACAACAGGAACAGTCAGATAATGCCCTCGAAATGACAAGAGTGCTTTTGATCTGCACGGCGCTCAACTGCTCCTAACGCCCGTTTCTGCACCAGCTTTTGCCTCGCAGCTAATCCCGTCTTTGTCTTTGCAAGATGTCTGTGAGAACCCTGCCCCTGGTTTTCATTAATCTGGGTGCAGAGATGCTTTACATACTGGACCAGCGACTGCGAGCTCACAACACGTCCGAGGACAATTCAGAGAAAGGTAGAGGTGGCTGACGGCTTCGTAGGTGTGTTTGGCTCCCAGTCTTCCCTCCCTGTGCTGAGCTGTAGCTGTCAGACGTCAGCTTAAGGAAGAAGAAATGTACCGCTCATATTTCCCCTGAAATGACAAGTCTGTTTTTCTTTCTCTTCTTTCCCAACTTGGCTGCAGGCGTGTGGTCAGAAAATGACAGAAAACGAGGTATCTGTGCTGTACTTTAGCTCCCCAGGCCCCTGTAGTGCCTGTCAGCTGTAATTACTGTAAACTAATTGTGAAATGAAGAAGAAATTGCTAGAATTTCACTACATACGTGGTCAAAATTTGGTTAAGACAAAATCAAACCTAAATATGATGCCAAAAATGCAGAATTTTCATTAAAAGAGTTACCACATAGGGCTGCAGGGTGGTGCAGTGGTTAGCACTGTTGCCTCACAGCTAGAAGGTCACCGGTTCACATCCCGGTGAGGACACCCGGGATCTCCATGTTCTCCCCGTGCAGCGTGGGTTCTCTCCGGGTTCTCCGGCTTCCTCCCACAGTCCAGAAACATGTTGAGGTTAATTGGTGATTGTAAATTGTCCGTAGGTGTGAATGTGAGTGTGCTTGGTTGTCTGTCTCTAAGTGTAGCCCTGTGATAGACTGGTTACCTGTCCAGGTGAACCTGCCTGAGTCAGCTGGGATAGACTCCAGCCCCCACCACCCTGGTGAGGATTTAGCGGTGTATAGATAATGGAGTTACCTCATAGAGGCCGACAGCTCGCTTGTCATCTAATTAGAGCTAATATTTGCTTAGAAGTTATGTGGTTGCAAGACTGAACCATAAAACCTTTAATTACACATAAATAATCAATCAGCCTGTAATTTTACCCAGTTATTCTTCATAAAGCAGTTCAAACTGTCAGGTTACACAGAGATCCAGAATAAACAGCTGTTTTCAAGTCCAGCCACAAATTCTCAGTTGGATCGAGGTCTCGGCTCTGAACATAAACCTTATTGTCTTTAAACTGTTTCTTTGAAACTTTGGGTGTTTGCTTTGCCTCATTTTCTGGCTGGAAAACAAATCTTCTTCCAAGTTGCAGTTCTCCTGCAGACTGCATCAGGTTGTCCTCCAGGATTTCTCTACTCTTTTCTGTGTTTAGTTTACCCTCTAGCTTGACAAGCCTTTCACATCCTGCTGCCTAAATCACGTCATGATGCTGCCACCATGTTTTATTGTGGGGAAGGTGTTTGTGATGATGTGCAGTGCTTGGTGTCAAACACAGCGTCTAGTCTGATGGACAAAAAGCCACATTTTGGTCCCATCAGACCAAAGAACCTTCTTCCAGTTGACTTCAGAGTCTCCCACACGCCTCATGCTTCGTATGAATCTGGTTTCACTTTGACATGAAGGAGGAAATTCTTTTTGAAAATTCTTGTCAAAAGAGCCAAAATATATATTGACTATGATTTAATGTTAGAAAGCAATAAAAAAGGAAACTTCCAAGCGAGGTTCATTCCTTTGATTGGTTTGTTCTTTACTTGAGGACATGTTACTTTCCACCACTTTTAGTTTAATTGTGGTTTCCTCTGGTGTCTGTTGAGAACGTCAACATTTTTGGAGTCTTGTGGTTCCTAAACAACCAATAAAGACTAACTTAGGGTTTCTTTCGTTTCCTCTGCATTACCCCAATGAGATACAAGCTTCTATAGAAACAAGCCATGGACAGATTTAACCACCTTTCTGTTTTGGTCCCTTCCTGATTCCCAGTTATGAATGACATCGTTGGGACCATGTTTGGTAAAGCCTTCATGGATGAGCTTCTCAAACCTCAGCAGCTGTATTCTCACAGGACAATGAAAACGGTGCTAACTCGGTTAGCGCACACCTCCATCATGAGGCTGAACCCGGCCAGCATGGACAGGGTACGTGCTACGAGCTACATGCTACATGCTACAGACAGGAACAGACTGGTGAAGACTTGGAAGAAACTACACAATGAAGTAGACAAGACATCAGTGGCAGGAAGTCTATGTCTCATTTTGGCCTACATATTATACCAGGATCATCTTCTAGATGTGAATCTTTCTGTGACCAAACGTTTTTCTAATATAGTCGTATTTTAACATCTGCAAATTTAGTTTGTGGCTAAAAAATTCTGTGCAATTCTGGTATCAGATGCTTGAATTTCACGGGGCCAGAAAAATGATCACGCAGAAGAAAACGTAAAAATTTGCCTGCCTTTATTAATTATACTAAAGTTATTGTTTAAAAATAAATAAATAAAAAATCACTCAAAAATTATAGATTCTAAAGAGGCCAGGGGGAGATTTTTTTTTTTCTTTTTTTCCAGATTTGTAGGAAATGATTTTGGATCAATGGGATGCAAATCTGAGCAAAGTCATCGTGAGCAAATTGTAATTAACTGACACATTATTCAGGCTTCTTAACGCTGCATGACACTGCATTATATTTAAACAGTTTGCTGCTGTGTTCATAGAGTTTTTACATAAATGCAACCAGGTTCTTTCAATCTGCAGCACTGATAGTTAAATATTTCAAGTGTGGGTCCTTTGTTTAGCAAAAAACCTCCATTTTATAGATTTAAATTTAACTTTTCTCACATTTGAAGTCCAAAAAAAAATCTCAAGTGCTGAATTTTTGTGCCTTAAGTCTGCAACTTTTACACTGGTTACAAGTTATTATGGAATAAACATCATCATGTGTTTTTTCTTTTTTCTCTCCATTAGCTTTATGAACTGATGGTCATGGCTTTTAAATATCAAGTCTTCCTTTGCCCTCGACCTAAAGACTTGCTGCTCATCTCGTACAATCACATAGACACCATCAGGGAATTCGTCAGAGACACTCCAGTGGTCCTGAACCAAGTGGACGAGACGCACCGGAAAATCATTGAGGTATCCCCAGATAACTTTAATATATAATACACCTTATGGTACTACTTCACCAGATAGCACTGAGCTGAGCTGCTGAGCTGTGATCTGTACAGTCTGTACGATCCGTTAGTTCGTACTGTATGTTCCAGCTGTCAGTTTTTATCACCAGCGTAACCAGTTCTCATGGTTTTGACGCAGGTTTACTCGTCACTATCAGCCGGGGAATTCCAGCTTCTCAGACAAACGCTGCTCATATTTTTCCAAGACATGCACATTCGGGTGAGTCTTTTAAACGTATCCCTCGAAACAAGTCGCAAGAAAACATAGCACTTCTTCTTTTAATCAGTGAGGATTTTTCTCTTTGGTCTTAGGTGTCACTTTTCCTAAAAAATCAAATCCAGAACCCCAATGGACGCTTTGCAATGGCGACCTCAGGCCCAGTGCCTCATGGGACGGATGTTCCCGGACTTATTAGGTAACAAGCAACAACGTGGAACCGAATTAATGGTTAAACTGCTCAGGGTTTCTTTAACTCGCTAAAATCCAAGCAATTTCTGTGCATTCCTTCACTCCTGTCACAGTTTTTCTTACTCATTTTTTACTGCAACATAAAGTCCTGCAGCTCTTTGGAAACAACCACAACCAGAAGGTAGTTAATCATTCATTTAAAAAAAAAAAACTGGAAAAGCCTGGAATCCGCATGTGCTGCCAATACTGGAAAATAAATGCTGATTGTATAAACTACCGACATTTTTGCAAATGAGGTATTCAGCTGTAGAAAGATGTTTCACCAAGCTGAATGTATCCTCCAACAACTTGCTCCTCTGTTCACCGTTTTTGAGGTACAGTTGAAGAGATTTGGGTGAAATAACAAAAATTTCAAGCTTACATGTGGTTGTTTCTTCCTGATGCGACTGCCCAATAAACATTAAACATTTAAGGATTGTCAGAAAACTGGAAATCCTACAATTCTTACAGCTTCTGGCTGATAAATGGTGCTGTTTTGGTGATTTTCTAAATGATGATATAGTGGGTCTAAGTGTCCGAAGGAAAACAAATAAATAGTGGCATTCACAGTGTTTTCAGACATTAAAGTTCTGCCTCCCTTTTCTAGCATCTAAGTGTGAGGGTTTTTTTTTTTTTTAGCCATTTAGCTCAATAAAAATGTAAATTTTAGTTTTTCCTTTACATGAAAATAGTCGCTGTGTATTTAGCTAAGTGGAGAAAGTTTCAGAAAGTATCAGAAAAAATGAATAAAATCATTTGTAATTGAGAGTCCCTGCAGAAGCTAGCAAACAAGTGGAGCTAACTGTGGCTAGCTGCTAGCATGGCTGTGAATTCTTGTCACTATACATTAAAATAATAGATCTACCTTTATGTTAGGAAGTGAAAAATGTTCTGCCTCTCAGATAAAGTGATTAAAAAGAATTTGTATTGAGAGTTCCTGTACATTAGCTACCACAAGCTAACAAGCAAGTAAAGCTAACTGTGGCTAGCTGCTAGCATGGCCATGAATTCTTGTCACTATACATTAAAACAGTAAGTCTACCGTACGTTAGCGTGACAAAAGATGAGCAATTTTCTGCCTCTCAGATAAAGTGATAAAAAAGAATTTGTATTGAGAGTTCCTGCACACTAATTAATGGAAGCTAACAAGCAAGTAAAGCTAACTGTGGCTAACTGCTAGTATGATTGAAATCTTGTTACAGATTTTTCCTGTTTTGTTAATTTACAGTTAATACCTTTCTTAAAAACGAGCACCTAAACTATACTTAATGTCATGTTGTTCTTTAACAGTGTTTGACAAAAAATTCTGGTTTTCACTGTTTTTACATATGTAAATTTTAAAAAATGTTTCTGTTATTTGGAAGTCAAATTATGTATATTAAGAAATGAAAAATGGAAAATCTTTTTTTTAATGGTTATTTGACAGATTTTCCCTGTTATGAAAAAACTATATAAAGTTAAAAAAAAAACAAAAAAACAAACAAAAACAAAGCAAAACAGAAAACAAGCATCAATTTACATGTTGACTATATAAAAAAGTCCAGAACTGATATGTTCACATCATAAATCAACCGTTTTAGTAATTAGTTGTTTGCAATGTGTGACAGTAAAATTACAACTTTGCTGTGTTTTAATTGTCTAAAGATGTAATTATTTTACAAACATCTCTTATTATTTTGATTGTTTTCACAGTTTTTGATCACAGTATTCTCCTCTACATGTTTTTAATATATATATATATTTTACAGTGTAGGGTCGCCTGGAAACGCCTGATGCAAATGTTCCACGAGAAGCTGAAATGTTCTTATATTTAGTCGTGTGTCTCCTCTGACTGTGTATAAGAAACGTCTCAGTGTTCTAGACTGTGATCAGCTGCTTTCTGTCTGCAGGGCGCTGGACTGTAAAGGCAGAGAGCTGAGACGGACTGAGTTTCCTACCGGAGGAAGTTACAGCAGCGCCATCAGGGAGGGATCCTTTGAGCTGCACGGAAACCGAGTCATCAGGCTGGGCATGAACATGTACGTACGTATGTACTGTGGTATGGGATGGTAGGTAACGGGGGAGTCCGTATCAGTTCAGACACAAATCAGGGAACATGTTGCTGCATCGTCTTTATGAACATGTTCACTGGGGCCAAAACCTAAGTTCTATTAAAAAAGAATAGCAAAAAAACCAAATGTGTTTCAATAAAAAATTAGATTTATTGTGATGTGTATTCAATTATCATCAGTTTCTCTGTCCAGCGTTCATTCCCAGGATCTGTTTGGGAAAGTAAATTAAAGTAAATTAGGCCTCATATGTTGTTAAATCTCAACATGAAGAAAACGTGGAAGCAGCTCGTAACTTTGCTGCTCGTGTAACGACATCTAGAACTCATGAACTCCTGTCAGTAAATCCACATCAACATTCAGTCAAAACAGCAAAAAACAGTGACCTTTCTTTTGTCATCTTCACCACATCAGGTTCTACTGATGTTTGAGCCTCAACAGGTGGTGAGATGTGACCAGAGACTGGGTTCTAGTAGAACCATGGATCCATCTATAGATAGACTCTTACAGAAAGTTTCTGGGGATCAGCACCAGCCTGGTTGGAAAATGTTGAACTTTACTTCATTGTAAGGGACCGATTAGTGTGTCTTATTGACATTTTGGACAATATTCAGTAATTTTAGACACATTTTGAGTCATTTTGGACAAAAGTTTGATTATTTTGGGAAGATTTTTTTATGGATCCATCCATAGACAGACCGTGACAAGAACTTTGTGGAGCCACAACACCAGCCTTGATTGAACATTATCCACTGTTTCACATTTTTAAGTGCTAATAATTAAAAATGTCGTCCTCTGCTGGAGTCGTTTGATCATTTACATTTACTGGAAACTCTTCTGAACCCTGACACCATCTGAAATTGTCAAAAATCAGCCAAAACACGTCAGATTTTGGTCCCAAACCGTGGCCAACATCTCCGTCGGTGAGGCGACATAACTCTCTGAAACAACGTGGACTGACTGATACTATTCTGATGAACCTCTGGGTGATGCTGTTGTGTGTTTTGTTAATCAAAGGTACACTGTGGACCATCCAGAGGAGACACACACATCCAAAGCTGCCTCTGTGAAGGTAATGATCAGATTGTTTACATCTCAACAACCATCACGAGATACGCTGGTAGCTTCCATAAGACAACATAAGGTTGTTTCTGGTTGTGTTGGTCACCTTTACGGCTACATTAGACCACATATAATTAACAGATTTCCAATTCTTTAATCTGAAAATGTTTTATGTCTCTATGATTTACTGGACATTAATCAAGATTTTACCTCAGCATTGATAAAGTTCTAGTTTAGTTGTTTATTTTGTGCAAAATGAATGTAATTGCATCAAAGTTAGCTTGCAGCTAATTAGCATCTGGACAGGTGCAGGAAAAAAAAAACAACCACATAAATATGTCAAACCAAACGAAAACATTATAATAAAGTTCTATTTTATATTTATATGATGTAATATATTTGTGATAAATCAAGATTTTCAGTATGAATACAAATTAATTTATATTTTGTTGTTTCAGATAAAGCTGGTTTAAAAAGAAGTGATGATGTGAATGATGTTTGAATTTAATTTGTGCTCACTTGAGCTTCACATAAACTGCACTGAGGCCTCCAGTCCTCCTTCCTGTGTGACCTCCTGCCTCCTCCGTCCCACTGCAGCCAGACAGCTCTCCAAACCTTCTGGCCAAGGAGGAGCTGAACCTGCTGGCTCGTCTGATGGGCAGCATGAAGGCCGAGAACGCCACCGAAGCTGAAACCGGGTTCAGGATCAACCTGTTCAACACTGACCAGGAGGAGGCGTGAGTCATCGTCTCTAATCGTTCTCTACGGTTTCAGTAGCTGTTATTCCTACACACTGGACTTCTGTCTTTTTCAACAGAGGAGCTGCAGGAGGCGCTGAGGAGTCTCTGTTTGGGGTCATAAACATTCAAGCAATGCAGGTAGAGTCACTCTGA